AATAATAATAATAATAATAATAGTAATAATAATAATTATAATAATTTTGGCTTAAATATCGCATTATGCTAAAGCCTCGATGCGCTTAACAATAAAAATGAAACTGCCGGATTAACACTTAAGGTCTCTCTGGTTTCGTTTGTTGGTCACCCTGGTCATCGCAAATACGTACACTACTGCAATATTTCACGAATGCCCACATAAGAACCTTGGGCCTCGCAGAGGTCTGGTTTTCAATAAAGTTGAGATTAGAATATCTGTCGTCATCAAAATGGACCATTCCGGGGAGTCAATCAGACTTAACAAAAGACAAATCAGATCAGGACACGAGTTGTCCCACAAAACGCACATGTTCGCGTATGTTTTAACACTCGTTATTTGGGACTTTAGAAGCAATATCCAAGGGGTGGTGTTTAGCGAAAAGGTCCATTATACTAGTGGCTGGCTGGTAGTGACTATTGTACTCTGTTTTAGGCCTATACTTGTTATATAAATTGTGTTTATGCTTGTTTGGGCCAGAGGCCTATAATCAATTAATGATTTATGTTGATTTATGGATTCAATTTCTTGGTGTTTGCAATTGGAAGATTTAAAAAAAAAATCAGTTTTACTACTAAATAAATGCTTCTTAAACTTATTCCCAGAAAAAAAAAAACTAACTTATGTTTGTTTTAAAAAATACACGATTTATGTATACCATAATATAATGTACGACACAATACTGTGTCTTCCAATTTTTAATAAAGTTAATATGTGTACACATAGGCCTACTATGTATAATGTGTTAATAATAAATACATTTATAAAGTGCCTTTTTTCTGGATAGGTTACAAAGCGCTGAAAAGATCACAAATCACAGAAATAAAATAAATTAAACATTTTGAAAACAAGTAGGTCTTGAGTAATTTTTTAAAAGATGTAATTAATGAAGATGGAATGTTGTGTTGTTGAAACATATTTTACTGTATTTTTATACCATTTTAATTTTACGTTTTTTTGTAAATGATCAGTTGCATACATTATTTTATTTTGTTGTATTTCTTTACTGAATAACCCTTTCACATGGGTTTAAAAATATTTATTTAAATAACAAAACAACGACGGTTTGTTTCTTAAGGTGATTGCAAGGAAAAATGTATGTCAGACCTAAAACTGGCAGCAGTAGGCAATACTGTATTTGGCTTGAATGTAAAAGAACTAAGAAATAAGGAGGTAAGAATACAGAGAATCAGTAGCTAGGTTTAAACATTTTTGGATTATTGTATTAATTTTATTGTCATCATCATCATCATTGTCGTCATCATCATTATTGTCATCATTATCATCATCATCAAAATGATCAACTTCATCCTCATCCTCGTCAAAGAGGGCCATCTTCTTCTTCTGTACGGCAACCGGACAGCCGTAATATTTGGTTTTCAGATCGATGATTGATAATGCGCACATTGAATACAGCTTAGTGTAATATTTGAAAGAAGATATTCAAAATTAATTTTCTTTCCTATATCATCAGTTCTGTCTACCAAGTGTAAGTGTAAGTAAATACAAATCAAATTTCCACGATCTTGACCTTGTATTTTGACCTTTTCTTTCCAAAAATAACAAACACTTTCTTTTATTATTATGTATCATTCCACTAAATTTTATGATGATCTATTTCTTAGTCTTTTGTGTAATGTTGCTAGCAGAGAGACAGACAGATAGAAGCGAATACAACTAACCGCTTTGTGCGGAGGTATTAAGAATTAACAATGTATGTTATTACCCTATATCAACCCATCTCTACATGATCAATGGTAAATATTCATTATGTGCACGTTTCTCAACTCACAGCGGTGTATTCAGAATGCTACAGATACGTCATGGATTCTTCAAATGAATGACACTGAAGCTGGAATTTCTCAAAATTATCCTGTAAAATGTCAGCAAGGCTGCCAGCATTGCAATGATGAATCCCTTCGACCATGTAAGTCTAATACCAAAATATACTGTATAAAAAGACCTGGAAAAGTAATTACAAGTCCTACTGTTAATAGTATTGCTTATATGATTCAGTTTACCTTCCAAATCGAGACCCCTCTAATTCTGAAAATTCCTAATTCCAGACCACTTTTTCAAAATATCAGACAACCAACAAGCTAACCCTCTAATTATCTGAGATCGAACCATGAAACCACACACATTTTCAGCGATTCCAAGAGTGGTCTCGAATTAGAGGGCAATCTGCATTGGCATTTAAAAGAGCTATATGCCAGAAGGCAGATACAGTACCCAGAGACTTGAAATATTAAAGGTGGTCATGTACAATGTACCTCAATGGCAAAATTACGATACATGTACATAAATATATTTTTTTGTAGATCCTCCACAAGAGATTACTTACAGATCAACGACTGGATCAGACTTGTGTGTCAGATGGAAAGGAAATGTGTCAACAAATTATACAATGTATTATAGTCAAGGAAGGTAAGTTGAAATGATGATGATGATGATGATGCTACTTCTGCTGCTGCTGCTGATAATGATGATGATGATAATGACGATGCTGATGCTGCGATGATAATGATCATGATAATGATATTTATATGCACCTGAAAAAGGAGATTTTTGTTGAAGAGATATGCTAATATCATCACGACATCAAGTGTAGGCCTAATGTATATTCAAGCTCTTTTATTGGCTTTTCTTCCCGCACCAGCTTAAAAGTCAATTTTTACTGCTGATTTTATCTCTGCTTCTATTCTGTTTCATATTTTTTTACACAGGGTTTTTCTGTCCGGCACTTATGCTCACTGCTTGGTTCTTCTTCAAACATTGTCCAAGTAAAAGACCTTCTCAAATATGTGCATATTAAAATATGACGTCATTATTTAACATTAATGGATGGACAATGTCTTTTATGTTAAAGATGTATTGTCCCATGCTAAATACCAAAAAATCATAAAAAAAAATATTTATTTTCTAAATTAACTTGCACATTTTGAAGTAACATAAAAGTTATCAACTTGAACACAGAAATTATTGTATTTGAAAAATGTCTACTCATCAGTTTACAGCGAAAAATGATAGAAACACTTCCATTCACTGGAAGTGTTTTATATTTTTATTATAATTTTTTGGTTTAAAAATCAGGGTACACATTTTTTGTTAATAATTTGTTTGCTATTGCAATATTAATGAGCAAGTTTACTTCTAAATTATTTTTTTAAAATGATTTTTTGACATTAGCAAGGGACAATACATCTTTAATGCAATTTTCATTTCCAAAAGCGTTTTAAATTAGCTGCAACTATGTTAAATGTAAAGTTACAGTAATATGCATAAACAGTTTTCTCCCTCCAGCTAATTTATAGCTTTAAAATATCTCAATTTCGTGAGCTGAAAAATTCAGTGGTATGAAAAAAATACTTGGGGTGGGAGGTTCTACGCCTACATCGTATAGGTTCCTGTTGATCTGTATTGTGTACTTTCAGGTTCAAATCCTGTGAGAGGTAACTTTTATGTCCTTCGTTGAAGAGCTGCTTGGTACGATCATAATATCATTCTCATATTCGAGCACTGTAGTTACTATTTATCTCTTTGTTAATATAAGCAGATAAAATCAAATAGTGGTAGAAACAGCACTCGAAGAAACAATGATTGAAAGATCGTACTGGCATAGCTTATCCTCGAAAACCTTCCTTATGGATTGTTCAGAAAAATGCTCCTCGCACAAACTGAACCACTGATAACTCACTGTCATAGGGAGTGTCTTGCCTGAGAGTACTGTATGTAAACACAATCCAACCAAGGACAATTTTCGAACAGATATCCGCCCTCACAACGTGGGGCGAAGGCCAGGACAACTAATGACTGAATTTGAACCAGGATTCGCCCAACGGGGAATCTGAGGTCCCCGACGAGGAGGTGAAGGGGGGGGGGGGTGTACCCGACAAGAACAAAGTGAGCATGGTCGGGCGTTGCTCAAACTTTTTTGAGTGTGGTCCAGGGGCGAAAGCCCCGAAAAGTGTGACAATTTATGGGCTTAAAATGCTTATTTAATCGATTTTAGGGTCTACTAATATATAGAAAATACATATAATGATGATGGTGATGATGATGATGATGATCATGGTGATGATGATGATCATGTTGATAATGAGGGCATTGTTGGTGGAGGTGGTGGTGGTGGTTGTGTTTTTGCGTGAAGATGGTGCTGACATTAATTAGGATATCTAATGGTTTTTAAAGGGATGATCCATTATTTTATATGTGAGTGTTTGTATTTTTATAGAGGATACTGTTCAGATAAGTACCAACGGTGCACACGAGATAAGTCAGAGAACGAATTTTTCGAATGCTGCCCACAAAATCTTCATCCGGTTACTCCTATTTACGTGAAGATAAATTATGAAAACAAATATATGCATGTGAACGGTATATTATACTGGTTGAGAGCTCAGACTATAGGTAAGCAAATGTCAACAACACTGGTTAGCTACACTGCTAACGATAATGAGTGTGATGAAGATAGCCTTAATAATAACGCTAATTTAATAACACTTAGGCCTTTTTTAAGATACATTAAAATATTCATATACAACATTATAATAAAGATAAACTCTAAACAGTCTTGTGTAATATATATATATATATATATATATATATATATATATATATATGA